TTTTTTTTCTATGCGAAAGAAGAACTTACGAAAAAAAGAAAATGTTCTTATCATTCCACTTTAAAACAACCGGCGCCAAACTTACTACCTGTCTTTTGTTCCGTTATTCAAAAACATCAGCTAATAACTGCTTCGGGCAATTTGAAACAAGACACCAACCTGTTTTTGTAATACCTTGTTTATATTTGCAGTGCATTAGTATTGCCAGGCAATATCAGTGCTGCTGTAAAAAGGCTTACTCTTAGATTTCGCTTTAACTCTAAAAATATGATATTTACAACTATTAGAACAATAAAAAGGGACAACATGTAACCAAGATCCGCTGTGTATTGTGAGAAAACTTTTTGATACTGTTTATAAGAACATATTTTATAACAACATATCGAAGATGAAATTTGATAAATTCTAAGAATATTTTAATGATACACCTGAGGGTGCTGTTGGGAATTTGAAAAGAATATGATTTTGTGTTTGGAAAATTTGTAAATACAATACTATGGTCATATGTTTTAAACTAAACCGTATAAAATTCTTTCTTTCTTTAAACTGCAAAACTAGCCAAAAAAAAAAACAATCTCAGCACCAACCGCATGTTCGATGTTAATGACATTTCTGCAAGACGTTATGTGTGTCTATTCAGACTGAATTGTCTGAAGTCTACCTCCTAAATTATTTCAACGTCAATAAAATCATTATAGGATAGATAATCAGACGTTGTGTCAGCATAGTTCACTTTGTATTTCTTTGAATAATCTTAGAATATCTACGAGAATATTTTTAGCCTATAATCGGCAGAAAAATAAGAATACTTGGACTGGGCCGGAAAAAGGTATTCTTGTTAAAAAAAGGAGTGAGGCCTTTTTCACCGTAAATTTTTCTTTTTTGCTTTGCTATAAAATTCAATGAAAATGTGAGGAAGGTTCAGATAGGACCTGTAAAATTACCAGAAATTGCCTCCGTTCACATATTATGATGCAAATAAGAAAAAATAATGGTGAAAAGGGCTATTATGCAAGGCAATGTTTACATGTTTTGATTATTTTGTCTTATTTTGAGCCACTGAACTAAAACGTAGGTTAGGTTGAACTCAAAAATGAGTTAAATTTAATAAGTTCTGTTCCATATGTGAAAAATGCCTGGTCACCGTTATGCATTTTTGTGCAAAACTCAGCTTTAAAACGATAACTTTAGTCATAAATAAAAGGCGATTTACCAAAGATGCCATTAGTTTATTAATTAAAAACAGAAAAATATTCATGTCACAGTTTTATTTTGTTATGTTTAACTTTATTAAATGCTGGAAAAAATTGAGAAATTAGTATTCTACAACCGAGACGAAAGCAAGCACTGCAAGGAATTATTTTTGCAAATACCATTTATAGCAAAGCACGAGTTCCCACATTTGAATGGTATCGTGTTCCTAAGTGATACACTTTCCTGCACCTGCTATCTCTCCGCAAACTTAGATCAACAGATGCTTAATTACGTCCTTATAATTATTCCACTTTAATTAAAACATTTATGCTTTCATCGCACTTTATCAAGCGTTCCTCTGTGAAGACAGAAAACTACAGAACATGCATCTCTGGATGCTAACCCTTGTCTGCACGACTGTGTACGGCATTAGCCGTATTTCACAGCCAGATTTGAAAGCTGTCAACTTTGCAAAAGCAATAGCGGGATATAAGCTCAATGGAAGCGTGATCAAGGAAATAGAAGTTGATTCTGAACTTTCATGTCAGCTTGCGTGTGTTGGTGAAGAGAAATGCCAGTCTTACAACTTTGGACCCACCAATGGCACAAATACTACAAAGAAAAACGCTGAAATATTCAGGTGTCAACTGAGCGACTCAGATCGATTTGTTGGCTTTGCAAACTTCACCAAAGATAAACAGTTTATTTATAAAGGACGCCAGGTAAAAATAAATTTCAATTTTTTAAAACATTTGAAATTTAACTTACAACCAAATGAATGGTCTTTCATGATTGCTAACACCCTAAATTTCTGCATAAAAACTTTGTCTTTAGGATGAATTGAACAAAATAAAATCCATATCAAACAATATCAGACAATTTAAGTAATATAGCTTTATTTCACTAAAAGGGGAAAGCAAGCTTCGCGCAGTGGGCTCCCATCCTATCAATGGGTCGAGTTTGTTCAGTTTGTCCTTCGGTTTTACTCCTTCCACAAAATCTGACATTTCTAAGTTTCAATTAGACCAAGCAATCAGAAAATACCGGAAGATCCAGCTTTCTTAGAGCATAATGATAACAGCGAAGGTAGCAAAACTAAAATATCAATAATTATTTTACACAGAGTACCTGTGAGACGGACAGTTCCCCTTGTGGTGACAAAGGAATCTGCATCCCCAACTATCAAGATGACACCGTGCAATGCAAGTGCAATGATGGATTCATAGGAACGCCTTGCAGTACGTAAGAACTTGGCATGCAGGAATATAGTTTTTGAATAAGGAAATGACATTATTTATTTCTTGCTTTAACAGAGCCCATCAAAAGCTGTTCCAAACTCATTCAATTTGGTTTGATATCCAGTGGCGTGTACGCAATTAGTCTAGATGGCGGCAAACCAATACAAGTGTTGTGTGACATGACCACGGATGGTGGAGGTTGGACAGTTTTTCAGCGACGTTTAGACGGCTCTGTTGACTTCTATCTTGGTTGGGAATCCTACAAAAACGGGTTTGGAGATCTGAAAGGCGAGTTCTGGCTTGGAAATGACAATCTTCACCGTTTGACAGCCACTGATGACACCATACTGAGAGTTGACCTGGAAGACTTCGATGGGAACAAAACATACGCTGAGTACACGACTTTTAAGGTGGCAGACGAGGCAGATAAGTACCGGCTTTTGATTGGAGGATACAATGGTACGGCTGGTGACTCGATGGCATTCCATAAGTAAGTAATATTTATGCATTTTCCGTATATTACGAAGGATTCGTTTTGGGCAACTGTACACTTAGCTTTTAAGGCTGCTGGCAACAATTTTCAACTTTCAAGCAATAATACTTTGGCAGGTCAATATTACCACACCTAACAATACTGATTAAAATACAATACAAGTGATTACACTGAGGTTTTCCTAGGTTTGTCTTTTGTTTTTTGTTTTTATTTTTTGTCATTATTATTTTCCATTTGAATTTAACTTTAAATGCCTTCTTGTCTCAGTGGCTCTCATCGTAAACAAATAATTACACCCGGTTTTTATTTTCTTATTATTCTTTTTAATCGGCTCGGCTTTGCTTCTTTGAAAATGTAGATGTTTTGTTTGTTTTGCTTTGTTTTGTTTTGTTTTTTCTTGCCGGGCGGGAGGTCTGTATAGGGAAAAACTGTGCCCCAAATCTTGGCTATAGCCCAAGGCCGAACGCAGAAGGCCATACTCAAGACAGAGGGTACAGTTTTTCCCTATGCGGATCTCGGCAAATGTGTGTTTGTTATTATCCGTTTTCTGCGATAAATTGTTTTCTAAAAAAAGTTAGTTTGTGTACATGACTGCGTCATTGATTCGACTTACGTGTCGGTGTCGTCTACAAACCATTCGTAATGTTGCAAACTTTCGCAACGAGTTACTTAAGCACTAGACACTACAACATGCATTGAAGATTTATTTTTAACTACTTAATTTTGGTTGCGGGCAGTTCTCCAGTTAAGCTCTCCAAATTGTTTTTCTGGTGTGAAACGTTTTTTTTTCTAATTAAGTTTGAAGTTGTACTGCAAAAAAAAAATTCGATCAGAACTTACGAATTACTTTAAATAAGACTTTTTACCCGTAAATTGGATTGTAGAACCCGAAGAAATTCATCAAGCGTATTCCAAAGAAATTCTTTAAATCTAGCAACAATAAAAAAGGCAGTTTCGACTGGGATTAATTTATGATTGTACGGCGAGAAAAAAACGCAAACTTTCGCCATTGTGGTTAGTTTTGTCTTTGTCGAGGGAAAACAGAATTACACGGAACTGTTTCCTAAGGGACCAGTAATTAAGTGTTTTGTCACATAGCTGGAGGAACCTGGAGTTTAGTGTAAAGTAATGAGGCAAGGAGAGTTACCCCCAAGCCAAAGTAACCTCTGGGTAGAAAGAGAGCGAGCAACAGGTGCTTAACTTTTGCCCGCCGAATGATATTTAGATTTAGCTATTGCCATGGTTTGTTCGTTTGTTTTTTGTTTGTTTGTATATCTGTGCTGGGCACCCTGGATCTCCGTGTGAATTTAACAGTCATATTAACATAATATAATAGTTTATTCACAATTCAAATTCAAATGAAATGAAATGAAATGCGAAAAGGAGACAAAAGAGGTTATCCCTTTCGAGTTTGTCTCCTAAAATAAGTAAAAACACAAATCTACATCAGAATAGAATTCACAATAAAAAGTTCAAAAATTTCCTAAAACATTAGTAAAATGGCATCTGAGCCTGTTCATGAAAATGTTCAGAATTTCTGCCTCTGCAAAGTCTGAAGGTAAATTATTCCAATTATTTATTACATTTATAAAGAAAGAATACTTAAAACTATTTAGCTTTGCCGGCAATGCTTTAAGTTTATGGCAGTGGTTGGCTCTTAAAGGTCGAAATTCACGTGCAAACGTAAAATAATCAAATTGGTCTAGTCCGTTAAGACTGTTAATCTTCTTACAACACTCGGTAAGCGAAGAAATTAATCCTCTCTGATGTAAAGTTGGCCATTTAAGGATCTTTAAGCGCTCTTCATACGAAATATCTTGGCCAGTGTTTCTGAGGGCATATCTAAATGCCCTACGTTGTACTTTCTCTAATTTAGCCCAGTCCTTTTTAAGGTTTGGCATTACACTGGAGAGCAATACTCGTGTATTGGACGTACTAAAACCTTGTATAATTTCGAGAACAATTCAGGGTTCCTCGGGCCCACTGTTCGCTGTTCGCCTTGTTTTCACATTTGTTGGTTTGCAGGCTCCATGATGGATTTGATGTGATGTGAATTCCAAGATCCTTAACGTTAGACACAGCTTTCAGCTGGCTCCCATATAGGAAGTATTCAGGCTCCGAATTATCATTCTTTTTTGAAATGCGCATTACCTCACATTTGTCGGCATTAAACCAGAGTTGCCAATTATTGCTCTAAGATTGCATTCGAGTAAGGTCCATCTGCTGTTCCTCGACATCGTCCTTAGTATCCCTCAGCACTCTATACACTTTTATGTCATCTGCAAAGAGTTTGGTTTGTGATGTAATATTTCTTGAAATGTCGTTAACCGGAAACAAGACATAAAATAGGACCCAACACAGTTCCCTGGGGTGCGCCAGACAAGGGCAAGGCAACTCGCAGGTGTGCTATTCATGATATAACAAAGAAACAATCTGTCATTTTTTTTTTTTATTTTTTTTTATTTTTAGTGGTATGAAGTTTTCTACGATAGATAACGACAATGACCAGTATAGTGGCAATTGCTCACAAATGTACAAAGGAGCCTGGTGGTACAATGATTGCCATTCGTCCAATCTGAACGGCGATTACCTTAATGGTTCACATTCTTCTTATGCCGATGGCGTAGAATGGTACATGTTCAGAGGTCACCACTATTCTCTGAAACGGACAGAGATGAAAGTTAAAACCAAAGTCTAACTCTGAACTCCGGTCATTCAACATTCCGGCACGAGAACAATTGACCATCTAGAACCGCAATAGTGTGGAACTTTCTTTTGGTAGCAAAGGCTAGTCTAGGTTACTATTTTGGATGGGTATCTAGTATTTATAACTGTAGCAAACTGTTTCATTTTTTTGTGCATTATTTATGATATTAGTTCAGAATACATTACGTTGTGCTAAGGATGGCTGCGTGCCGGAGTGAGAGGCCTGGGTTTGTATTTCAGAAGTCTGTCTGTCTGTCTGTCTGTCTGTCAGAGTCTGTCTGCCGGTCTGATCAGTGACTACATTGGCGCTACAAGATTTCTAATACGATGCTCCTTATTTCATCTTGTTCATCGCTGATACTAACTTGTAAACATGCCGAGGGAAGCTTTTTTTCTTCGCTCACTCTTTCTCGTTTGCGTGTCTTCCTTTGCACTTGTCGCCAGTCCCTTTCCATTCACATCAGCTAGATCCTAGGTGGTTTGATGAGTGTGGTATGTTGCCTGCTGGGGTCTCCCCTCAAGGAATCCTTCGGCAAAGGGAGTGGGTGAGACAAACCTGGTTTTGTAGCATGAAACGAATAGTATTACTGCTACTCCCCCCTGGATCTGATGATAGTCCACGCATGCAGTGTCATCTCCAGCATCAGGAGCCAATGGGTTATGAGTTCCTACCAGCATTTAAGAGTGATTTTCTGAGAGTGTCGAGAATCGGAAGACACTCACGAAAAATCGATTTTTCTTTTATTTCGCCAAAACATACCTTTGGGTGAACTTATTCAAGAAAAAATAGTTTAAAGTTCCAACGATTTATTTTACGGCCAAAATTTAAGAAAGTTCGAAATTTGCATATAATGGCGGTTTTCGCGGCTTAAAATGTTCAG